CCCACCCCAGCCATGATGAGGGCCATGAGGCAGGTGGCAAGAACAGATCGCTACGAGGAGCTGCTCACGCGAAACACGATGGAGTTCTAATGAAAACAAAAGACCATGATGAACGTTGAACCAAGGAACGAGCAGCTGATGCTGCGACAATTTTGGAAGAAGTATCCAACGTACAACCTCAACGTGTTGATGCGCAAACGCTACGAGGAGCTCATGGACGCCAAAGCGTTCAATGAGTGGCTGCAGAATCGTCAACTCAAGCAGCAAGGCGAAGAGTATCTTGATGCCATGGGCAGGATGGCAGAATCCGTCAATCGAAGAGTGCCGCAGTTGCGTTGGGCCGGGGCAGAACGTGCTCAAGTCCTCAGGGCGAGTCAACAACTTGCAGACCGTGCCATGCCCCGTCAAGACACGTCGTCTATGCAACGGCGCTAGTAAACAAACAATGGAAGAACGACGTGCATTCGGCTTTCGCCAGCGACCTCGCTTCTCCGAGGTCCTGGACTACATCGAAGAGGGCGAGCCTCTGGGCATCCCTTTGCCCAACCGCAACGTCAGCATCTACAAATCGAGCCACTTCTACCTGGATGACTTCCCGCAGTCGACAGAGCCCTTGGCCGAAAACCCGAGGCCTCACGCCCAGCTGGGAGCGGCAATCGAAGAGGACTTCGAGTCTGCCGACGATGGATACCAAGGCAGGCCTTTCCCACAGATGAGACGCCCCACTTTCCTGCAACCTGGTCCCGACACCGACACCGAGGACGAAGCCTACCGCAGGGATGGTTTCGATCCGCCAAGGCCTCCCGACCCTGGTCAACCCAGCAGCAGCTTCAGCGGCCCTGTTGGTGAGGCCGCCGCTGCAGGAGTCTCGAGCATCCTTGCCTCCGGCGCGGACTTTGGCTTCAGGAATGCCACTAGGGCGGCGAACGCGGTGGAGCAACGCGTGTTCCCGCAGATCATCGGTCGACCAACAGACGCGCAACGCGTCATTGAGCAGGCTGGACAAAGAGCCCAAGAAATCCAAAGGGCCGCGGCCCAAGATATCGAGCAGTTTGCTGCGGAACAAGCTGCCGCAGAAACGGCAGAAATCACGCCTTTGCTGGCCGAAACCGGCGCCGTGGCTGGCGAAGCCGCCGGGGCATTGGAAGTCTTGGGAGGCGCCGTTGGCGCGGCACTGGCGCCCGAAGTTGCGATTCCTGCAGGAATTGGTCTGGCTGCGGGAGCTGGCAGATCAGAGGCGAGCACGCAAACGGCGCCTCCAAGCGGCAGCAGGATTGCAGCCATTGCCGGCGGCGCGGTGGAAGGAGCAAGAGCTGGCGCTTCCGCCTTCCCGACAGCCCGCAATTTGGGCAGAGCAGGAGGGGCTGCTGTGGGTGGGCTTGGCGCCGCAACGTTAGGTCTGGGTCTTGGCGCCGTGGGTGGCGTGTACGAAGGTGCCAGGTACATGATGGGAGGCGACGGAGGCGACGCCAGCCAATCCTGAGCGGATCAAGCGCCCGACATCAGAACGCTCAACAACATGCAACAAGGCGCCCCGCAGCAGCAGATCAGCCTGAGACAACCTCGTACCCAGGCACGTGTTCAGCAACCCATGGTGTCCAGAATGGACGCAGACTCAGACGACGCTCCCATGACTCAGCAGCAAAGCCAGCCCAGGCCTCAGGTGCGCTCAAGACCCATCCAAAGGCCCTTTGGTTTGGGAGGACCTTGCCACCAACCCCTCAGCTCAGCGGGAGTGATTCTAGCGGCAGGTCGCAAAACCGAGCGAGAATGGAGCCCTCCTTCAACGAGCTTCGTCGGGAAGCTTTGGCCCGAGATCCAGAGCTGGTCTGATCTCGTAGGACGAATGACAAAACGCACGACGCGTTACTAAGAAGGCACAATCGATTCGCAAACATGGAGGTGGTGACGAATGCCGTCAATGACGAGCTCATGCAGAGCCTGGACTACAAGATGCGCACATCGAACGCGTCCTACGTAATATCTCGCAAAGATGTGCAGTATTTCCCAAGCTCCCTCAGCACCATCACGCCCACGACATCAAGAGTTGTTCGCGTGCCCTTGACTTCGGGCTCTGATTTTATCGACCCTGAGAGCATCAAGGTAGCCTTTCGCTTCGTCAACAACGATGCCGCCAACGACTACCACCCCATCATGGGGCATCCTGCCTGCCTGATCAAAAGAATCCAGCTTTTCGCCAACGGTCAGCGAACAGACGACATCGACAACTACGGCAGAACCGTGCACCTGTACACGCTGCTGAAGCCGCGCGAGTGGTGGATCAATCAGTCCAACGAGGGCTTCGAAATCAACGA